TCAAAATATAGAAGCCGAAAATTTGATTTTTTTTTTTTTCCCTCCATAAGAAATATGAGAAAAGAGAAGAATTTACCTCTGGCTGAAACACGCAGGAACACTGATTGACACTGCTTGTCTCAAGTATAGTTCATGAGCAAGCCAGAATGGGAGATCCACTTTGGCACCTTTATCTACCTAAAGGAACAAAACAGAAAAACTGTCACAACAAAGGAATCACTACCTTTCTATTCATGCCGGTCTTATAACTTACACTGTTTGTTTCAGAACTGGGATCGAGGAGGCCAACTGCGTTTGCTCCCACTTGAAAAACCACTGAAAGGGGCTGCAAACACAAACTTATTGTAGCTTGTGAAATTACACTTTTGCAACTATAATCTATAGCAATTCAAAAGATCTAAGGTTACGTCAGCCTGACCTCCTCTTCCATTAGAATGTCATCAATGTCATAGTAACTAGGCATATTTCCTTTGATCAATTACAGAATACAATACACTTCTTTGTTCCGGGAAGATACAGCAGCAAAATTAGACCACCTTAATGCCGAGGAAATTGTTGCCGCTCCTTCTGCACCCTGAAACTGCTAGTAAAGCTTATCAACTTTCATTGCATCAGAACCACCGATAATGTTTAAACTTCAAGTTAATAGATGCCCACGTATAAACTGAGAGGACCATATGCAACAAAGAAAGAATGCCACAAGTAAGTGCCTTTATATTGCTAGAAGTAAAAGGGATGTGTTGCACTTGTACATATTGTTACATATATGGTATACTATAGGTATGTAGATGTGATCCAGGATGCAGCTACTACATTACAACGATAATAGAATTCTGGGCATATGAATGAGTGATGTCCTTTATATACAATATGAAGGCCATAATAATCAAAGAAACACAACGATAATAACTACTCTTATTCCTTTTATATACAGATATCCTTTCAGATGTTTTTGCACAATGAATGCATTGAACCTGGAAAAGGAACAAGAGTAGTTATCGTCTGAATTCAGTGAAATGTGTAATTTGAAAGGATATCTGTATAGAAAATATGAAGGTCAGGTGTCATAGGAGGAAATTTCCTAGTACAATGCGCTAATACCTCAAGCAAGGTCCATGCCATTTGAGATGATTTATGTACCCCCATTATGTTTATGAACAAAAATTTCGATTAGGTCTGATCATTTTTAACCGATGCATCAAGTGGTTGTCGGAGGATCTAGCAGTTGCGTCTATTTTTTCTGAGCTATTAGTTTTCTTTGTTGGGTTCATTGTTCAAGAGCACTGCATTTGGTACTGAAAACCAAATCAAATGCAGGTGATGTATTTCAGAGAATTCTCAGAGGCTGGAAATTCTTTGCTTGTTCATCATTCAACCGATTCATGCTAATTTTCCCACTACTCAATCAGGAGGTAGAGTTGTCACAAATAATTACATGATCATATATCTGTGAATGTGTGTCTGCGTTGATTAAACAGATTTAACAGATAACAGAGAATTGCAAAGCTTTTATTATTATTTTTTTAAAATTCATATGTCTGTGTAATTGTTTTGTTTGTGCGTGTGTGAGTAAACCCCTATCATTTGTCATCACCAGCAAGTATCTATAAACTGCATCATCGCAAAAATTATTGACCATAGTTTTTTCTAGGGCTGATTGTGTATAGACCCCTTGCTCTATTGCTGAAGATAGACCCCCTTGCTCTATTGCTGAAGATAGACCCCGGAGTGAATTTTTTTAATCTTTTACCCCCAAGAAAGTTTTTTTTAACCAAATACACCTCTTGCGGGTAAAAGAACCAAAAAAGTTTCTTAGAGGCAAGGTTATCGATGGCAGATAGCATAGTGTTGAGGCACTGGTAAGGCTATTTGGGGCAATAGCAGGAAAAAGCATAAAGTCGCATAGCAATCCATGTTAAACATGTATAAATATTCAAGAAAAAACAGAAAACTTTAAAAAAATCTAAAAAATCTACAAATAGATATTTGATGATTTATAATTAGGAGATTTGACATAGATCAATTCATTCTAAGAATAATCTATAATTATAACAATAACTAAATAAATAAGAAAGTATTCCAATTTCAAACTAAATAAATGAACATGAAAAATCAGTGTTCAATAACTAAATTCGCAAGCAAAGTAAATAAAAGAACAAAGGCGTGAATTTATTACCTTCGACTCAACGCAATGTCGATGGGTGAAGCACTGGAGAGCTCACGGCGAGAGGAGGAGGACTGGAGAAGTCGAAGAGTCGTCGTCGTCGTCGAGAATGCTGACGGAGGAGTAGGAGGAGCTCACGGCGACAGGAGGTGATGTGTCGGT